GGGGATTGTAGACCACATATGAAAATCAGCGACTTGAACTGATCTTCCGTTAACGATCCGAGTTTGAACCGTTCGCATTCTCGGTTCACGATGCCAGAATATGTGAGGAAGTCGTCTGCATCACTCTTCACTAGCTTCATGCATCGATAACGGATGTTGAAAAGTGACGTTTGCTCACCGAATATTTGTGAAAGCGTGTTGACCGTTTCATCAAAAGTGAAATCGCGCGGGTTTTTTGGCAGAATATAGTTAGCGTACTTATCATGCTCTGCGGGTCCAAGTTTGCGGAGCAGGAGGCGAACCTTCCAACTATCATCTTGAAGTGAAAAATCGACCCTGAACAGGTCTTCATAGCGACGAAACCAAGCATCAAACGTTATGCCAGCTGAGGGTTCATAGCAAAATTCGTTGATACTGCCAGCGATTCCATCAACCGACTGTGGGACACTCGACGCCGCCGGTGAAGCCAAAGATGTAGTTGATAGTCGCTCCGTAAGTACTTTGATGAGTTGCAGTTGTTGCTCAAACATTACTTTGAGTTGTTCTGCCTCCATCTTGCGTCGCCAAATATGTTACGGTTCTGTCACGCAGCGAGCAAACAATATGATAATGCGGATTGTGGCAATACTCTATCCCCAGCTATGTTGCTTGATCCAGACTCCTAGCACGGCGAATAGTAAGAAGACGAAAACCTCGGACACAAGTCAGTGGAAAGAATGGTATCCTGTACGTGGTCGGATTTAAATTTTCTTGGAGTATCAATAGGCCATTGATTTTTCATAGTTTGACCTTGAAGATGCCAGGAGTTCGCTAGCACACATAAAAACAGCGTTTTCTGGGGGATATTGATATCCCCAACAGAATCCGCCAGGCCTGGGTCGTCGTTGTTAATTTGAGACACCTATGGCGTCAAGTGGTGTATCCCTGAATCTCAAGGAACGTGTGTATCATGCTACGGTGCAGGCTGTTTTGTTGTATGGCTGTGAGACTTGGCATGTTCGAGCGGCGGAACTGAGATGTTTTCAGGTGTTCGACAATCGTTGTCTCAGCAACATAACTCATGTGCGTTAGTGTTGGCGAATCCTGATGGGGCAGTTAGAAAGCGAGTTTTCGGTTGTGCAGCGGGTACTTCTACTAAAGAATGTGTCCAGCACCAGAAGCTGCGTTGTTTGGGACATGTGTTGCGCATGTCTAGCCATCGTTTGCCGACGACAGTGCTGTTTTCCGTGCCCATTACCGATAGGTGGCCAACTCTTGAGCTGGCGGAAGGGCATGGAGGAGTTTACTGTCGATGCTACTCGCCTCCCAGGGTTAGGACTGCATGATCCCAAATGCGTCTGGCTGGAGACACCGCGAGATATGGCTGTTAATCGATATTATTTTTTTACCATTATTATTTTTATTATTATCATTATTTTATTATTATTTATTTTATTTTTATTTGTTTATTTATTTTAATCTTATTT